TCCCAAATCAGTATTGTCTGATCTGTCCAGTGTTGCTCCCTACCCAATATGTTCTTTTATCTTTCAAGTGCTCTAAGTCTGAAGAAAAGCAAACATGAACTGTAAATTTCTAGGTTAGAAGCATTTTCAGTCCCATTTCTCTATCCTTCCCTACGCAAACTCCATGAAAAGTGCAAGATTTTTCAAATGATTTACTTTTAAAATGTTTTATTTAAGCAGGTAGCACAATCTACTAATGTTATTTGATCTTCTGTGTTTGTTATATTGGTTGTAATTAATTTTTTTAATTAAATTAATTCTTGAATTAGTAGTAAATTTATTAAGTTAACTATTAACTACATTCACTTTGTAAATTATTGTATAAAACTTATTGACAATGCACTGACTTTAGAAAGATGTTATGTACATAAATACCTTGTAAATAAAATAGTGTTGATGTACTGGAATATGAGCTGTATAAAAAAAATATTGGTAATTGTATATGGAGTGAACCTGTTTATCTGTAACTATATTATTCAAACAAATTAAATACCGTGGATGCACATGAAGTGTCCTTTTTTGTCAGGTAATTTTTAATAGCTGTTTTTCTGCTTAGAATTTTCTTTGCTGTTTTCATTAACGGTAAATCTATTTTAGATCCAAAAGATTGAAGAAGCAGCGAGGCAGCGTGGCAGGTCTCTGCAGTCTGTGCAGGTATCCAGGGAGGAGCTCACGGAGGGCCTCGGATTTCAGGTTTCTTGTGTTTTCCATTGGAGTATGTTCTGTTTGGTTTTAGAATTATTCCACTGCATCCTGTTTAAGTGGTGTGCCCGTATATGAGGTGAACAGAGGGAGATGTTTCCCTCTTGCAGATACTTCTGCAGAGCAGTTTTACCTGCACCAGTTCGGTGGTTCTTTTGTTTTGCTGTGGCTCTCTTGTGGGAGATGCAAACTGAGGCCAGGGCTTTAAAGCAGAGTGGCTTTCCCAGCTGCCTTCCCCTGTGATTCCTTCTGCAAGTTGTTAGAACACACAGAAAAGTCAAACACCCATTTTAGTATTTTTGCCTTTTTTTAGGCTTTTTTTGCTAATTTAACAAAGTAAGGAAAATTTGCTTAAAGATATTCCAGGAGTGATGGACATAGAAATCTCTGCATGATTTTATTTTATTATTTGAAGGTTTGAGATAAGGTTTGGAGAAGGATCACGTTATGGACTGAATGCTGAACCTGTGAATCGGCTGCTGCGGCCACAGGATGGCAGCCTTGGCTGCCGCCTCCGCGGAGCTGAAGAAGGTTTGGGAGCCCAAACCTGCCTTTTTTTTTTTTTTCTCCTCTAAGGAAAAGCTTACTTTGAACCTATTCAAAGAGATAATAAACAACATTTATCTGCAACAGGCACATTCTGCATTTTGTTTATTAATGCAGGGTTTTGCCTTGCCTGGAGGAATGATTTCCAAAATTAAATTTTTCATATTATAATATAATATGAAGTAAATAACGCTTAGAAATTTTGTGCTTAAGCATTGTTTTGTTATTTTGTTATTAAGTTATCAACTTAGACATTTTAAATCAAGTGGTTTTATCTGTTTTCATCAGGTGGAAACAGCCTTCACGATACAATTCATACAAAAGGCATGAGGGAGCAAAAGATACAGGTGAAAATAAATCTAATTCATAATATTCATAATAGGTGGAGAACTAACACATCCTTACTGCTTTTGCGTAGACACTTCTGCAGTTATTGGCTTGCTAAGTAGAGAATTGAGCTGCTCCGGTCGCCAGCAGAGGAAGTTCATTCCTGTACCTAAAGGAAGAGTCACCCGTCGGTAGTACAAGAGGTCAGAGTTTCCTCTCATTCTGTTCTGTAACCTGTTCAGTCCAAAACCAAAGAATAATTTGGGTCAGAATAGAGGAGGGCATCCGGTCCATCTGAATGTTACAAGTACATCTCATTTCAGATATTGTAATTGTTTCCTGTATTGTGGATGTCATAAATACAGAGGGTGACTTTTTTATTTTTTATTTTTTTAACACATCTTAAGAAATATGTTTGCCATTTGCTCAGCCATCACTGTTTCAACAGGTTGCTTTGGTAGGAAGTCAAAGGCAAAAATATTTATCTTGTGCTCAGCCGATGGGGGAGTAACAACTGAGACAGAGGTACAGGAATAGGAGGTCAAAATTGAACTTGTTTTTGCTTGGGCATGAGAATTTGCAGAAAAATTGCAATTGGGAAGTAGAACTTTGGTAGGGTGTATCCTAGGGCTCGTTCAGGGCTCTGCTCTCCTTCCAGGAAGCAGGTTTGTGTTTTATTGGCTCCTTTGTGGCTGGTAACAGCAGTTGTGACGTCCATGCTGAGAAACCAGCCCGTTTCCAAGGTGGATGAAATGATGCCTTAGGAGCAGGAAGGGTTTGCTCTTGGAAGCAGCGTCTTTGAAACGTGGATCCTTAGGGAACTGGCGTTCGGTCTTGGCATTCCAGCGTGTTCCTGCTGCGGCTCCTCCTTCCATGAGCACTTGCTCACGTATTTTCTTGATTGTACATCGTGTTGAGACACTTCCTCCGAGCTGTGATTGACTCTATGACACTTACTAGAACTATAATCACTTTTTTTTCCCCCAAAAAAGGAAGTAGATGTGGTGGTTCTGGCAGCTGGAGCCAAGTCCCCAGCAAGCTGTCACATTATCACCTGGCATTGTTTGCTTTCTGAATGCCTCCAAACGGAGGGTGACTGTGTGCAGCTGGAAATGAACTATTGTTCTTGTTTTGTGGCCCCTGAAGATGCTCATGGGGAGACGCAGCCGAGGATTCCCATGCGTCAGCGTCGCGTTGCGGAACGGCCGGGCCCGTGCAGGAATTCACCTGGGGACACTCGAGTCACTGCTCCATTTGCGGGATTGGAAATTTAATTGAAATCAGAGAATATGATGCAGTTGCTCCATCTTGAATTTCCCCTCTTAAGGCTCATGGGTATTGAAAATGTGAGAGAACAATTTTTTTCACTGTTACAGTTTTTATGGGGTGCAAAGTACAAGTGAAACAGTTCACAGAGTTTATTTGTGACACAGTTTTTTTAAAAATAATTTATCTGAACATTATGACCTCAGGCCTTGTTTTGGTCACTTGTTTAATTCTGTGCAACGTGCTGCTACAATAATCCTCTTTTCTCCTTTCCAGCAAGCCCGCAGCCCAGGGGAGCTCCCGGGCCACCAAGGCAGATTTCAATCCCTTCAGCAGCCTCGATCCTTCACTTGGACTAAGGGACCATCAGTCTTCCCATGGACAACAAGGTGTAACATAGACTTATTAGAAATGAAATAGTAGCTTGATGTATTACCTTGTATGGAATTATTCAATCATAAAATAACTCAGGTTGGAAGAAACCTCAAGAAGTTGCCTACTGCAGCCTTCTGCTCAAAACCGAGGCATTTAATTCAGGCATGCTCTAATACGTGCAGATAGGATTGATTACAAAAAATAGGATACTTGGTTTTCTGAAATACTTTTTGGTTTGCAAGCATGCTGCCACAGCAAGAACTATATAAAGCAGATTTTCTTGCAGATCTTGT